TGATGTTTAATAATTTTTTTTTTTTTTTTGTAATGTGTTGATTTTTAAATGCTTATGTGCTTGTCTCAATAAATATCAAAAGATATGTGGAGATCTACTACTGTCTGTCATTACAATTATATATATATAATGGTTTTTGCTTCTGTTGTTAATTTATTTGAGGTTCTTGAGTTTCTACTGATGGTATGGTAATTTCTAACACAAGGAAATCAATATTGATAATTGGGGAAATAGTTAGAAAAATCCATCCAAAACAATTATTGCAAAAAGACTGCAGGAAACATCTCATGTAGTATTATTTTGGGCCTTGGATTACATTTTACTGTTGGACTGGGAGCTTATTCAGACCCAAGTCTTCATATGAGATTTGTGATGGACAAATTTAGTAATGTTATTGAAGACAAAAGTAGGGAAACCTTTTAAAGGCCATACATCATTGAACCTATTTACTTGAGATCTTTTGTTGGCGAAACCAAGAATTTTAACAAGATAATTTTAAACAATGCAAGAATACTAGAGGAGGGATTCAAACCTTCAATCTAGAGCAAATTTTTGAGCTATCTTCCCTGCTACTTTAGTAATTCCCTTATGCAAGGGAATTCAATAAATTATATATACACAAAAAAAAAATCGATATAACCTTTTTTTTTCTTTGATTTTACACTATTATCTGTATAACTGTTTGACGAATGAGATTCAATTGAACCCCTTTATTCCGGACAACTCCACCCCTGTTTGATAGTAAGTGCTAACAAAAGTAAAAGTCTGGATGATATTTAACTTTTAATACAATTTTGTTATAAAATAAAGACTGTAAAGTAAAGACAAATATAGAGAGAAACTGATATATTATTCAGTTTCAAACTGATGTACATAATGAACTGAAATCTCCTCTATTTATAGAAGAAAGAAAACTGTTGTGTAAGCTGCGTGTAAGCTGCTATTGTACCAGATATAGATTATCTTCTACTGGGGGTAATATTTATCCATAACGGAATACCGAAAGGATAAGCTTCTTCAGGAGGCTTATTTCCAATAAAGTACTAAATAGATAAACATATTTACGGCGGAGTCCCATATGGATAAGCTTCTTCAGGAAGCTTATTTACAACGAATTACTAAATGAACATCCATGATATAATATATTTATAACAAATTTGAAATAATGCATTCACATGTCATATCAATTTGCTTAATTTATAGGTTACTTTAAATTGAGAGGAACATTTGGCTCTCGAGGAGGGGAGCCTTAGAGCAACAGTAAATTTATTTCTGTATGACTTATAGGTCACGGGTTTGAACTGTGGAAACATCCACTAATACTTGCATTAGAGTAAGTTGTCTACATTACACTGCTTGGGGTGCGGCCCTTTCCCAGACCCTGCGTGAATGCGGGATACTTTATGCACTGAGCTGTCTTTTTTTTGGCTCACACTGCCATGCCACCTTCTTTCTCTGCGCAGCCTTGCCTCCGAAATTTTGATTTTGCTAAATTTTATAACTCGTGTTATAGGTTGATGAATTGACAGAACGTACAGCCTTATCCCTGTCGTAAGTTCGAACTCCCAACGAATTATAACAAGTAGAAATCTACTCTCAACGTAAAATTTTTAATAGAGGAGGTAAAGTTTAAGACTTTCTTCTGCACGTATATATTCTCGATGAATTTACTTATGTTTCAAGATTATAGCATATGAACAAAAAAAAAAAAAAAACAATATTGTTAATTAGTTACATTAAAATGTGATCTCGTTTTATTTCTAGCTACGAGTTTGTAAATTATTTTTTGGAACAAAATGACATATGACGTACAAGGCTATTCTTGAGAATGACATTACTTTGATAATGTGATTTTTTTTTTGCACTAAACCGTGTATATAACTTAAATTCATGAAAAGCATATTAATTCATCTCTACTCATCTCCATAGTTCGATCGCGCGATGATCTCATTATAAACTTTTTCTTAAAAAAATTTATTTGTGACTGCTTTTTTGAAGCTTAAGTCGTTGAAAATTACTTTGCGCAAGAGGGCTCTAGCCGTTGTTGAGCCCAAAAGTTTTGATAATACTGAAAAACTTACAATTTCATATCTTCGGCAGCTTTTGATCTATATGCTTCTCGCTGTTAAAATTAAAGTAATATACACATAGGGGAAATATGGAACTGAACAAATACAACACTTCTAGGTTATTAAGCTAGGACTCCAAACGTATACGTAGCACCTTAACCTGTAGTCTTTTGCCTCTAATTAATTTTTTTTTCCTCAATTAGGTGAATTTGGGTAATGTTAATCTGTAAAGTGAAGGGCCTCTTAGGGTTTGTTTGGAAAGCCATGTGTAATTATCTGGCAGTGTAATTACTAGAATAGTAATTACACACCCTAGTAATTACACAGTATAGTAATTATAATGACCTGTTTCTTTATCACAACGTAATTACAATGTAATTCTCACTGTCATGTTTGGTTGGACAAGTATAATTACATAGTTAAACAAAATAATTCAGATTAGCATGTGAATAAGTTTTATTGTATGACAAACATATATGTAAATAATAAATATAAAAAATCAATTAACTAAAAGGTATTTAAAATCAATATTTTTCTCTAAAAATATATTAAATAATTATATCTTGGTAAATAATATCATAAAAATAATTGGTATCTGACAAATAAATAATATTGCTACTTAAGTTAGTTAACGAATTTAATTTTTTCACCAACTCATGTGAATATAAGAAAGTTAGACATAAGCTTAGAAAAAACTTTTCATAGAAAATATTTATACTAATGATTAGAAAACAAAATTAGTAAATACAAAACATAAATTTTAATGTGTGAAATATACACACACACACACACACACACAAACACATATATATATAGAGGCGCGCGCGCGACATGACCGGTTATTTTGCGCTTTAGCATTTTGTTCAGCGGTTTCAGACTTGGAGTAGCTTCATATGACGCATTATAACTTGCATGTATGGTTAGTCTTGATTTTTGAGAGGTTCAAAGTTAATTTGGAAGATTAATATTAAATTCGGAAGCTTTATGTTGGAGGTTCTCGGATTGGTGTTATGATGGCTCCAATAGGTTCCTATGGTGATTTTGGATTTAGGCGTATGTTCAAATTTGGATTTGGAGGTTCCTATAATGTTTTGGCTCTAATTGCCGAAAGTTGAAAGTTTGTAGGTTTTGAGAAGTTCATAGGTTTGAATGAAAGTTGACTTTGATGATATCGGACTCGGATTTTAGTTTTGGGACTTGGATTATGATCGTTTTGTCATTTAGAACTGGGGTGCAAAGTTTATTTGCATTCTGAGTCAGGTAGGCATGAATCAAACGCTTGGTTGCGAATTATTGATGTTTTTGAACTTGAAGGCTTGCAACACGAGTTTTGATGCTTGATTCTTGGTTGTGGATGTTATTTAGATGATTTGAGCTTACGAGCGAGTTCGTGTGAGGTTTATATACTTGTGTGGATATTTAGTGTGGGGCCCGAGTATGATGACCCGATAGGTCATCTAGAGTTTTAAAACTAAATTTCCGTGTTTCGAAGCCTCCAATAACTTCTTTAAGCCTTCCTCGATTTTCATGCGCAGTCCGGGTGTTTTCCTGAAGGCTTTTATGTTAAAATTTAATAAAATATAAAATTTTACCTTAAAAATTTATTTGAGTTAGCTTTGGTCAATATTTTGAGCAAATGGACCCGGATTGACAGTCCAGGTGGGTCAGTATCGTAATTTTGGACTTGGGTGTATGCCCGAAATCGAATTCGGAGGTCCCTAACTCGAGTTATCGCTTTTGTCGAAATTTGAATGTTTAAAGGTTTAATGACTTTAATGGTTTGACCAATGTTTGACTTTATTGATATCGGGTCCGTATTTTTATTTTGGAACCCGGTATAGGTCCATTACTATATTTATGACTTGTCTGTCAAATTTGGTAAAAAACGGAGTTAGTTTGACGTGATTCGAATGTCCGGTTGTTAAAATAGAAGTACATAAGTCTTCTTGAAAATTTTATTTGATTTGGTATCCGATTCGTAGTTCTAGGTATTATTTTGGCGATTTGATCATGCGAGCAAGTCTATATGATATTTTTGGACTTGTGTGCATGTTTGGTTTGGAGCCCCGAGGGTTCAGGTGAGTTTTGGATAGGCTACAGAGTGGTTTGGACATAGAAAACAATGCTGGTGTTCTTCAGTTTCTGGTGCAGGCCTCAGACCTCGCAATTGCGAGGTCTGGCCTCGCATTTGCGATATGGCAGCATCCCTGCGAGGTTCGCATTTGCGACCAACTTCTTCGCAATTGCGAAGTGGAGCTGGGGGACAGTGGTCGCATTTGCGATCAAATGATCGCAATTGCGAGGAGTTCATGTTCGCAATTGCGAACAAGCCATTGCAATTGCGATGACAGCAGGAATGTGAGACATTCGCAATTGCGAAGGATTTCTTGCATTTGCGGCTTCGCAATTACGAACCCCAGGTCGCAATTGCGACACCTACGCCTGAGCAAAATCTGAGTTAGACGAGATTTCTCTCATTCTTTCAAATTTTCAAACTTAGAAAACCCTAGAGGTGATTCTTCCAAGAACCCT